GGAGAGGTATTTTTTTGTGCAGGAGCAAAAGTATTGCTGTGCCTGGGGCAGGGACAGGCTCATGTCTACGTCCAGCACACTGGTTTCTGTGTGTCACTTTGCACTTGTCGTTTGGGACTCAGGGGATGGGAAAGGGGGCACGTGGCATCCTGTTTGGCACAGTAGGAGAGGTGTTTAGTTTTGGGCAGGTTGTTTCGTACGGGCTCGTTCACTCCCCTGGGGCACAGAGCCTTTTGGGGGACGCGTCTGCCAGTCCCACAGCCCGGAGCACTGGAAAACGGTGTCAGCGAGCGGGCTTTAATTGCTTTTTTGCTAGGGCTGGGGATATTTACGGATGCGGAGATTGCCAAGTTATTTATTAGGTGGCGTATCTGGGGATAGAGTCGTATAAATCACTGCGGCCAGTCTGGAACGGAGCAGATGCTCAGTAATTTAAACAGCTTTAATAAATATGCTAAAATACGAGCTTTGTCGCGGGCCGTAACGGGAGCCAGTGAGGAGACCCCAGGGCCGCGCTCGGCTCCAGTCCGAGACGCGGGTTGGGCGGGATGAGTCTGGCTGCCAGGGCTTCCCAGCAGTGTGCTGCTGTAGTGACGGTGCCTCTGCTCTTCTTTGCATCTTGCAGTTCCTCCCCAGATCGTCAACATCTCGTCAGACATCACCGTGAACGAGGGCAGCAGCGTGACCCTCATGTGCCTGGCCTTTGGGAGACCGGAGCCCACCGTCACGTGGCGGCACCTCTCCGGGAAAGGTGAGTGTAACCTCGGGGCTCGGTGGATGGGTCGTCCATGTAGGATGGACGGGTGTCCCTCTAGGGGTGGCATGAAGGTGGCTGTGGTGCGCCCTGGTACAGGGCTGAGGATGCTTGTTAAGCGATGCCCTGAGCTTCCTGGGCAAAGGGGATGCCGGATGCTCAAGGGAGGGCAGGGGTGCAAAGGATGTCTGGGTGTTGGCATCCGTGGGTGACGGTGCCACGTGTTTGGGACGTCTCCCAGGGCAGGGCTTTGTGAGCGAGGACGAGTACCTGGAGATCACAGGCATCACGCGGGACCAGTCCGGGGAGTACGAGTGCAGTGCTGTCAACGACGTGGCCGTCCCAGACGTGCGGAGAGTCCGAGTCACCGTCAACTGTGAGCGCAAGGAACGGGGAATTTGGGGTGGGGTGGGCGCGCGTGATCTGGCGTGACACTCACCGTCTCTGCAGACCCGCCGTACATCTCCAACGCCAAGAACACGGGTGCCTCGGTGGGCCAGAAGGGCATTCTGCAGTGTGAGGCCTCAGCCGTCCCTGTGGCAGAGTTCCAGTGGTTCAAGGAGGACACCAGGTAAGGGGCCGTGGAGGCGGGCGGGAAACTGAGGCACAGTGCAACCATGCCAGCCTCGGGGCTGGAGGGTGATGAGGTGCAGAGGAAGGCTGGGATTGACTTGTGTCGGTGGGTCTGAGTGCCAGGCTGAGGGCTGAGGGGGTCCCAGGGCCGTTTCTCCTGGGGACGGGGGTCAACATGGGCCACACGGGTCCAACAGGGAGACAGGTTATTGTAGGGAGAGCGTGAAGGATGGGACAGGAAGAGGCTGGTAGGGGAAGGTGTGGGTGTACAGTGGGGTGAGCCGGTGGGAAGGGAGGGGACGTGCAGTGCTCTGAGCACTGTGTCCTTCCCCCGCAGGTTAGCGAACGGGCTGGAGGGGGTGCGGATCGAGAGCAAGGGCCGCCTGTCCACGCTGACCTTCTTCAACGTCTCGGAGAAGGACTACGGCAACTACACGTGTGTGGCCACAAACAAGCTGGGCAACACCAACGCCAGCATCATCCTGTACGGTAGGTGTGCTGTTCTTTTGCAGCAAGGCATAGAGAGGAGGAGGAAGAGGAGGTGGCGAGGCTGAGGCAGGTGCGACCCCAGAATGTCCCCACATACCTGAAGCTCCACATGTCTGATGATGTCTGCTCCTCAAACAAGGAGCACGTCACCCCTTAAATGTCCCTTGAGCTCCTCACCTCTTTGAGACCCCTGCAGCCCACCCCAACACCAGTAACGCTCTTCAGACAACGGAGAGACCCACTGACCTCACCAGGAGGGGAACGTAGTGCCAGTGCCACAGGGGGCATGGGATGAGAAAGGGGACGGGGATGCGCAGGGATGACGGGGAGGGCGGTTCCCTTCAGGCAACAACACGACCCCTTCCCCTCGCTGCCAGCCCTAAC